TCACGCTTATGTATGTGGGGGGGGGGGCTTCCGCTCACACCCAGAGCACAACAAGCGCGGAAATATCGCATTGCGTGCACCTTCTTAACATTTAGGTCATCACTCTTCAAAAGCATTACCTGCGCATAGAGCAGCAGCAGTCAATGAACCCCGTAATATTCATGCGAGACGTTTCTTAGGTACTTGGAGCTGGCGAGTGTTGAATTAAATCGGTGGCCCGATACGCTACTTCTGCGCAAAGTGCTGTAAGGAAGGACCTGGTGGTTTGAAGGTGAGTTTCCAAGTGACTATATTCTGCTTGTAGCGATGTAATTATGCAAATGGTTGGGAGCTTCATAACTCCTCCTGGTTTACTTAGGTGGAGACTTAACTTGTTTTCAACAGCGAGAGTACCGCTAAGTAGTGATTCAGTTCGCGCAGCGGATGAAGTGACACGCTAACCTAATCGTCTTAAGGCTCTGCAAGCCAGCTTCATCAAAGCGGACGTCAAGGCAGCAACCCATTATATTGAATTTCTGCTGTTACAATCTCGCTTGTCTTAATTAACAACTGCCAGCCAACGGTCCTTTTCACAGCCATGTCGGTTGCCTCCCACAAGTACGTAAGGCTGCGACGGGCAATGCTGCCACTTCTCTAAGAAAAATAAAAGGCGAGGGTACATAAGGTCACACGTGGTCACGGCACAAGGACAATCTTGTCGAAGTGAAATCTGAAAGCTTTAGGCTAGGGTAACCCATCTGCAATTCCACAGCACTGTTTTACCCGCCGATTCACCGAATATTCTACCGCCCTTTGCTCACCGAGTAGTGCTAGTGGAAGTTGAACTTCCCGCACTGGCTCTCGCGATATCGCTCGGCTGTGGCGGCACGACAATTCTCTCCGAGACGGATTTGAACTGCTCCATCGGATTGCCTGGCTTGAGCAACCCGCAGATGCAGAGCCGCGTCACTGCTTTGGCACCAAGTTAGCTTACCTACAGGGTATTTGAGATGCTTTGTGTTTGCAACAAGGCTATTCACGTTCGGCTGGCTCGTAAGAGAGATAGGTGGCGGTGGCAATGACTATCGAAGACATTAATGTAAAATGAAAAAAATCAGTAGGGACATGTGCTGCTTTATTTAACCGAACGAATGAACTGGGGGATCTCCTTTGCACCATGGTCTCTTTGAGCTCTGGAAGATGTTCTGCAACCTTCATGCCTTTCGTCTATTCTTATGTTTGCAAATTGCCAGTGGCTAAAGTTTTTAATATGTTGCTGAGCACCTTAAAATTGTTTTGCCAAAAGTTCGTTAAGGGGCATGCTTCTTCGTTTGATATGATAGTTACCGGCAAGTATTGTTGGTAGAAAATTCGGTCGAGGTATGCATGACTGATCCTTAGCTATCATAATATCGCTGACAGCTGCAATATGAAATATGCAATTTTTTCCATGCGGTTCCCAAAGATCCCAATGTCGGTCTTCACCGATACGCGTCTTTTGCAAGACCGAAAATGAAGCTCATACTGAAGAACTGCCTACATTTTACAGGAAGACTGGACAAAGCTTCCTACGCATGCGGCAAATCTGTAAGCCGTTGTCACGTGCGCACATACAAACTTACCCACCTATACATGCTGGGCCAACAATACGAATCGCGCATTGATCAGCATGTAAAATCTCTCTTACAAGGTGATTGTCCAAGGGGCATCATGTTCTGGTACAGTGTACTACACTTCTGGTCCTCATCGTATGGTTTCAAAACCCGCTAAAAATCATGCGGGTTAGTGCTGTAATACAGCAAGCCTTAAGAGAAAACCTAGTGATACAGACGTGCAACCGTGCACTTCGATAAAGCAATATCCAGATTCGAAACAGCATTGCTGTTGAAAGCGTTTGGCATTGCAGTTTATGTTGCGTCTGCTTCTTGTGTCGTACGTATTGCCTATTCGATGGGTGAGGTCACCGTCGTAACATGGAGCAATTCATAGCTGGGCGACTCAAAAGCGAAAAGTATTATCAACTTGCCACTTTTGTGATAGATATCGTGCCGACATCACTACGTATAACCTGTTTCGATCACAAATGGCTAAGAGCAATCAGGTGCACCTTGAATTAGACGCGGTTATATCTCATTACTTGGTCTCCTAGTCATGAATAGGGTAGTTCTCCTCTTCCACATCGAACGAGCGAGACTCAAACGCATTTTGTGCTTATATCCACCTGTATTTGCTTGAAGTATAGCACAGCTTATGGCATTGTCGCATAGTCTGAATAACCACGGATGACATAAAATGCCCGATTTGAATCTCAGGACTAAGACACGTATAAGACTTCATCTCATGCCTCCTGCATCCAGCATTGGTGAGGTAGCGTTCCATGTCGGCATAATTTGCACTATAGTTGTGAAAGTAACTGACAAAAACATGGTGCCACATCGTTAAGGATTTTGAGTATGGCTGATCCACAATGGCCTTTATCTTTGCGGGATATGCCCGCACGTCCTCCCTTCCAATGCGATAACCCAGAGAATCTTCTGTCGGCGCCAAAGGCTCACTTGTCTGTATAGAAAAATAACGCTTTAAGTGTTCCACTCGAGCACCTCTCGCAAGGGTTCAGTGTGTTTTCCCACATCTGACTTCCCGTGCCCAGCATGACAGTGGTTTGTGCATGACCGCGATGTTGTCCGAAGGCTGTGTCAGCAGGCGATTGAACGCTGCTGGTGTAATTGAGAGTCCATGTAGAATAATCAGCTGCTCCAAGTGCTTTTTGCTCGATATACTAGGGGATTGGTGCTGCTTCCCACAAGAAAGAGATGAATTCTATAAATTAGGTCGATAATATTAAAGAAGATGTAGCTGACTATACTGGTCTGCAGCACATCAATTCTGAAACTAGTTCTTCATTTGTATTCGCGGCTTGTAAGGTATATTATAAGCATTTAAAAATCACCAATTGTCTTTCGCCTTTCGGACACAGTAAGACAGAAAAGCGCATCAAGTGGGTAGAACTATTTTTCTGCACCAAACATATTTTGTGTTTTGCATAAAAAAATTTCAATGACGTCAAATAGTTGCCTTGGTAAAGTTATCGACGTGTGGTGCAGTATTCATTCTACAAACCAAGTAAATTTTATGATACAAATTTGCTTCAGGCGTTCTACGCATGGAAGGTCACTCAGCACCAAGTCATGATCTTTCTCTAGCAAATGTTAGAAGGGATCCGCGAGTTTATCGCTAATAGCCTATTCATTTCTCGCACTCAGTGCTTTGCGAGTACATAATCATTTATGCATATACAGCACAGGACCACCCGAAGCAAACATTGGCTATAATGGCAACAAAAGTCATGCGCCTTGCACAGGAAATAATTCGACTTATAGGGTCCAGGTTAACAAACTCACATGGATTAAGTTAGTACTCTCGCTTTCTATAGCCTTGTAACAACTACATATTTACTATTTCAAAAGCAACATATACTTATTGTTAGTTAGAGATCCAAGGGCGTAAATGTGCTCATGATTGGGTCCTAAAAGTGTAATGCATGTTCGTACTACTTCGAACATTTTAATTGTACAATTGCGCAGACGTGTGTGAAAACGTCGAGCATCGTACATTTCGTACAACCTTACCCCCCCACCAGAATGTTGTTAACACTGATTCTCATATTTCATCAATTTCTTCGACATAGTG